AGTTTCCATTGTCAGCGGCCATCTTGGCATGACCTTCTCTTTCCACCACATTTCTTCCTTTTTGTTTATTTTTGAGCAACAGGAGGCATGATTCTTGGCCAGACCATTGCTGACCCCATTTCCATGTGGTCTCCGCACGTGGCTGTTCCTGTCTTAGGTTGTCTCCCAGAGGATCATACCCATCGTTGACTAACCAGTGCTCAAAACGGGAGGCCACAGGAGTGCTTGCTCAGATAGGGATAGGAATGAACAATGGTAATCAGGAATGGCGTGTCTGCACACAGGCTGTGGGCCGTTTGAGTGGCTGACCAGAGCTAGTGGGGTATAAAGCAGTAGCAGATGTGGCTATGGGCACTTTCTCAGGGTAGGATGATAGGGCAGGTGCATCCGCTAACAAGGCAGACTCTCAGTCGTGTTCAGCTGGTTCTGGTTGGCTGAGAGTTGTAGGCTTGATGTTTCTGGCTGGTACCCAAATGGGCTGTCCCGCATGCTCTGGAAAGACACAAGCATATCCTTGGCCCTAGGTTAGCAGAAGCCTTTTTACAGGCGCTGGAATCCAGGAACTGAATTCTGTGTTCACTTCGAGATTAACGGCAAACATGTGGGTGGGATGGGGTCTAGCAGCTGTCCTGAGAGCCTGGGTGCCTGGGGACTGCCACAAACGTGGGGATCCTCACTGGGTGCGGATGGGATGACCTCGCATGGGTTATTGCTTCGAGGTCGTCTAAGTTCATCCCACGGATATTTGGGGGTGGTTGTCTAGGGATTTCTGCATTGTTTGCTACATTGTCGTTTTCACTGTTGGAGCTCTCTCTCCCTAAGTTTCAACTGTTGCCTGTGAGGCAGCAGCCTGAAGTGACAGGCTCTTATCACTCACAGACTCACTATATTTCTCCTGTGCTTACTGGGGGACTTCCTTGATTCATTAGGTCAAGGCCGTATGCCCACATGGTGTCTGCGCAGCGTCACCTCTCTCGAGTGAGGGACAATGACATGCTTCCGAATTCTGGCATGATCAGTCCTTATGTGAATTCGCCGGGCGAACCGACAGTAAAAGGAGGAGCTGAGAAGCGGCATTAGGCTTCTGGGTGGTGTGTGCCTGCCTAACCTGGGGTGACATAGACCAAGGACAAGGACAAGGAAAGGGGCATAGGAGGGGGTCCACAGGAACACCTGTCCTATTTTATACACGCAAGTGTTCAGCCTGATTCTAGAATCACAGACAAAAGCCAGTGAGCATCTTTTCGATTAAACTTGTTGTATTTAGTCTTTGACAGGTGAAGGAGGCTCAGTCCCACCATGGGGTCTGGATTGCACCAAGACTCGAAAAGAGGGCAAAGGCTGCTTTGTCGCTTGCAGGGCCACACAGGAGGGGAGGAGAGAGCAGGGACCCAGTGACATGGCCAGCCATGGCCTCCCAGTTCTGCTGTCACTTTTGCGAAGTCCTGAGAAGAAATCCCTGGAACTCCTTGTCACACATGACAAGTTCAGGTTGCTCTGAGCTAGGTAGCTCCGCTGCCCTCTTGGTTGAAACACAACCTGTGTTGCTGGTCAATAAGAGATAGCTGTGTCATTGGCTCAAAGGAGGCAGGAGCATGTGACAGTTCCAAGCTGCTTCCCCCATGGTGTGGGGGTGCAGGGGGCATTTTATAGATGACGTAGCAGACAGCTGGTGTGTGGAGATGCAGGTTGGGCAAGTTCTCATTGGGGGAACTTGGAAACAGGCCAGCATGGCACTGGCTCCTGCATACAGCTGCTTTGCCAAGCAAAATGCTGAAAAGGCAGAAGACCTTTGGACTTCCATAGCCTGTAGCACTGGGGCTGGGTGAAGTTTAAGGCAACTCCTTGACATTTTAAGGGGCAGTAGGCCGGGCCCCTGGGTTAAATGGAAAACGGGGGCAGAGGTTCAGGGCAATGGATTAAGCCACCGCTTGGGATGCCTGCATCCCACATCAGAGTTCCCGGTTGGACTCCCAGCTGCTCCACTTCCACTCCAGCTCCCCTAATGCATCCTGGGAGGCAGCATATGATGGCACAAGTGCTTGGGCCCTGCTGCTCATGTGGGAGCCCAGATAGAGTCCCTGGCTTGTGGCTTCAGCCTGGCCTAGGCCTGGCTGTGCGGGCAAGTGGAGAGCGAAACCGTGGATGGAAGATCCCCATCTCTCTCTCTCTCCCTGTCACTCTACCTTTCAAGGAGAAGAAAATGATAAACACGTTTTTAAATTGCCAAAGAGAGGACCGGCATTGTGGCACAGCGGGTTAAACTGCCTACCTGCTACACCAGCATCCTATAAAATTTTTTATTTAATTTTTTACTTTTATTATTTTTTAGAGAAAGATTTTATTTAATAAATATAAATTTCAAAAGTAGAACTTTTGGATTCTAGCAGTGCATTCTGTAAGATGAAGTGCTGGTCGAGTCCTAGCTACCTGCTTCCCATCTAATTCCCTTGAACACCCCTCAGAAGGTAGCAGACAAGGGAACAAATATTTGGGACCCTTTCACCATGTCTGAGACCCTAAGAGAGAAGCCTGGCTCCTGGCTTTGGGCTGTCCCATCCTCAATGTGGTGGCCATTAAAAATATATTTATGTCTTATTTGAAAGAGTGGCAGAGAGAAAAGAGAGAAAGAGAGAAAGATCTTCCATTCCTGGCTTCACTTCCCAGATGACCACAACGGACAGGGCTGGACCAGGCCAAAGCCAGGATCCAGGAGCTTCATCCGGGTCTCCCACATGGGAGCTGGGGTCCAAGCACTTGGGCCATTCTCTGCCTCTTTCCCAGGCGCATTAGTAGGGAGCTGGGTTGGAAGTGGAGCAGCCGGGACACGAACTGGTGCCCATACACGGGGTGCTGGCATTGTCGCCAGCAGCTTTACCCACAATGCCACAAAACCGCCCCCTAAATAAATAGTGTTACAAATTCCACTGTGAATTGATCGACAGGTGCAGCATGGTGTTCCACCGCCTTCCCGCTCTGCGCTGGTGCTTCAGTCACTACATGGGCAAATGTGGACTCCTGGAAAGGACCGGGCGGGGCCCTGGGACCCTTTCAGGGCCTCTGTCTTAAGGGTCCTGGGCGTTTCCTGCAGGCATCAAGGGAGAGAATCAGCAGAGAAAGGCAGACAGAGGACAAGGGACATGGCCAAGCCCAGTGGCTGGGTGAGGTGACATTCCGTCAAAGGTTACCTGAAGGCCAAGGAGAAGAGAGGAGACACCTTGGCATTCCTGGCCTGGGTGCACCTGCGCTCCCGGAAGTGCGCCACCCTGTTTCTGGCTCTGGAGGGCGGGGCTCCCTTTACCCTCTGGGCTGAGCCCCCAGTGCCAGATGGTGAGCCAGCGCCAGGGGAGGGAGTGGGATGCCCTGAGCGACGGGTCAGGAGCCACTGATAAGGAATGCTACTTACTCCAGCCCCTCCCTGGCCTCCATGCTCTGTCTTCTTGGAAGACCTGCTGACTCAGAGGGGTCACAGGGACCAGTCCTGGAGACGCCAGACAACAGGACTCTGGACTTGAGGTGGCCGAAAGATCCACCCTCAGAGGGCCGAACGAGTCTGACAGCCACTCTGAAGTCTCAGACCCGAGGGTGGGGGAGGGCTCCAGGACCTTTCTGCCATGGTGTCTGAGAGTCTGGGACAGGGGCCCAGCCCCACCCTGCTGCAAGGAGGACCTGCACCCCCTCAGCGCCTCAGCTTGCCTCATGCTCCCTGGAAGGACATCTCTTGGGAGGGGGGCAACTTGCAGCCCAAGTCACCCTTCTCAGAGACAGATGGTTTGAGAAGGGGCTGGCAGGTTGAGGCTGGCTGGCTGGCTAGACTTGCTAATGTACAAGATAGTCCCCATGATGTGATAGAATCCATAAAGTGGTATATGGTTGTACGGGCGTTTGCCATGCCATTCTTTAAACTTTACTTCCTGCTTGTTTTTCAGTTTTTGTTTTTTTCTTTCTTTTTTTTTTTTTTTTTTTTTTTTTGTATCAAAATATCAGAAAAGAGAGGGAAAAATTCTTTTTTTAAGATTTACTTATTTATTTGAAGGTCAGAGTTACACAGACAGAGAAGAGGCAGAGAGAGTGAAAGAGAGAGAGAGAGAGAGAGAGAGAGAGAGAGAGAGGTCTTCCATGTGCTGGTTCTCTCCCCAGATGGGGGAACTTCCATAGCGATCCTTCAGATCGGCTCAGTTCTGGCCATTGTGACCATGTGGGGAGTGAAGCAGTGGATGAAGACCTCGCTCTCTCTCTCCCTTCCCACACTGAATAAATAAAATAAGTTAATCGAAAGCTGTGGTGACCATGTCTCAAGCTGGCCTGCCCCTCCTGGGCTCTGGCACTCAGCCGAGTGGACCCCACCTTGTCATCCCTAAGCTTTCCGGGAGGGACAGACCCTGCCCAACACCTGATCCCAAGAGGTTGACCTTGTTTGCTCAGGAGGTGAGGTTCCCTTGATAAAGAGCAGGAGGGAGGGCTTGGAGCTGGTATAAAAGTTCTGGAAGGTTCTTAGGGGTTACCTTGCACCTGAAGCTCCCAGGTGAGAGGTGTTAGGGATTCCTGGGTCTGCCTTTGAGGGGGTGGGGATTCAGATCTGATCTGGTCTGGGGAAGGGGATGCCTGGATTGAGTGGCAGGGAGTGTTAGTGAAGTGGGCACCTGGGTTGAAGCTATCTTGGTGCAGAGATGTGTCAGCTGTCAGTTGAAGGACTAGGAACCTGGGACACTCAGGTGACTGGGAAAGGCCAGGCGTGTGTCGGTGGACAAAGAATCGTGACAAAGATCCCATCTGCTGGTTCACTCCCCCACATGGCCACAATGGCCAGAGCTGGGCCAATCTGAGCCAGGAGCCTGGAGCTTCTTCCAGGTCTCCCAAGGGGGTGTAGATTCCCAAGTGCTTGGGCCATCTTCCACCACCTTCCCAGGGCACTAGCAGAGAGCTGGATCGGAAGTGGAGCAGACGGGACTTGAACCGGTGCCCATATGGGATGGCGGCTCCAGGGGCGGAGGACTCACCTACTGCACTCCAGCGGCCAGCTTGTCGGTGTTGGCTCTGATGCTGGGTTCAGGAAATTCAGCCGTCTCCAGGCTGAGGCCTATCCTCCAGTCCTAATTCAGAAAGTCCCCGTCCTGGCTGTGTCAGGACAGAGCCCACACCAAGAGTGAGCGCTGACCTTCTGCTTGGAAGGGAAAAGGAGGGCGTGGCTACAGCCAGACCAAGGGCGGGCCAGTGACAGTTGGACCCTGGAACATCAGGTCTGGAGGATGCACTGCAGGCTGTGGACAGTGCTGTGCACCTTGAGCCTGGGTCTGGCTAGGTGGGAGCTGAAGGGTCAGGCCACCCGGAGGCCAGAGGGAAAGGGGGAAACCTCCCCCTCTGCTCTCTTCTTCCCCCCTGCAGCCTCACGATGTGGACCTTCATGCTCCTGGGCCTTCTCTGTGCCTCGGCCTCTGCCAGTGCCAGTAAGTGAGCCGCTGGGACTCTGGTGGCGGGTGGCGGGAAGGGGCCCCTGCTTGGCTGGTGGCCAAGGCTTGCAGGGCTGACCCTGTGCAGTGGGAACTGGGAGGTCCTTGCCTCCAAGCCCCCCTTTCTTTCCACTGCAGTCCAGGCCAGGTCCTCCTCCTACAATGGCGAGTACGGAAGTGGAGGAGGAGAGCGATTCTCCCACTCCGGCCTCCAGCTGGAAGGGCCCATCACAGCCATCCGTGTCCGGGTCAACAGCCTCTATATCGTGGGGTAAGGCTCTTCTGTGTTCCTCCAAGGTCTTAGAACTCAGGAAGTGCTCTTTCACTCTGGACCACCTGTGGCTCAACCTGTTGGTCCCTAGTGAGGCAGCATATGGGGATAATGTGAGAGGATTCGGCTTCTAGATCTGTGCCCTTTGAACTCCTCCTTTCCCGAATGTGCCTGATGGTGGCAAATCGTTAATAACCACTAACTCTCAGGGGCCTGGAAGTCGACCAGCTCAGCCCACCCGCCTTCTGCGGTTTAAAGTTTCTTTCCAATATCCCTGCTGGGTGCCCTGCAACTTTGCTCAACGCCTCTCTTGAGCAGTCCCCACTCCATTGCTAGTCGGAAAATTCTATCACGTGCAGAGCCAAAGTGTGTCCGCTAATGCTGGATCTGCTTCCTGGGACAGCAGGGACAAGCCTCTTCCCTCTCCCACAAGGGAGCCACTCAGCTGTTAGAAAATCCCTTTGCTTCCACAAGTGTGGGAATGGGGGAGGGGCATCGTAGGAGGCTGGACTCCAAATTCAAGGCCTGCCATGTGCTGTGTGTGGGCGACTCTGGGCAAGCTGCCTTCCTTCTCTGCACCTGCTGTCAGCCAGGCCAGGAGCTGAAGTTCTTTGTGTGGTCCTCCAGGGCTCACCCGGCCTACACTTTTGGGGCAACTAGCAGGGACTGCTCATGCTAGTGTCCAGTTTGGAGGACTCCACGTGCAGGCCAAATGGTCCTGAACTCTGATGACCTAATCAGTGTCCCCGTTCCTGCCCTCCCACCCGTCCCCAGTCTCCAGGTGCGCTATGGCAAGGTGTGGAGCGACTACGTGGGTGGCAAGCTGGGAGACCTGGAGGAGATCTTTCTGCACCCAGGGGAGTCGGTGATCCAGGTGTCTGGGAAGTACAAGTACTATCTGAGGAAGCTGGTCTTTGTGACCGACAAGGGTCGCTACCTGTCCTTTGGGAAAGACACAGGCACGAGCTTCAACGCTGTCCCCTTGCACCCAAACACCGTGCTCCGATTCATCAGTGGCCGAGCTGGCTTATTCGTCAACGCCATTGGCCTGCACTGGGACAACTACCCCAGCAACTACCCAAGCTACTAACCCAGCAACTGCTGAGCCCGCCTCCTCCGTGGCAGGGCCCCGTGGTGGGGTGTGACAACTCCCTGATCACTATTCCCATACAAATGGCTCAATAAAAGGACATGGCTAAAGCTGGTGTGCATGTGGGTGTGTGCAGGCGGGACCCACTCTTGGAGGGCGGTGTGACTCTCAGCTCTGGCTACCTGCTGCTAAGAGTGGGAGCACGAGGGAGACAGGTGTTGAGAATCCTGGGCTCTTCCGTACGTCGCAAGGAGAGGAGACGCTGGTTCGAACCAACTCTTTTCGGGGTTAGCTCATGAGAATGTCTGTCCAAACAGGAGTTCTGAAGGGAAGGCTCAGCGGGGGCACAGCGCTGAGCCCCAGGTGAGCCTCTCTGGCGCCCTCCCCCCTGAGAAGGGGCTGGCTTCTCTGACCAAAGGCTGTCCCCTCTCCCTGGAGCTCAGCTGCAGGTGGGTGGCCTGACCTCTGTCCTCCCATCTGTCCCAGATGCGATCTCCCTGCTGAAGTTTCGCCCCAGTTTGTGCTTAAGGACTCCACCCCATTCCCCAGGCCAGTTCTTCCTCATCTTACCGCTAACCTGGTGCTCTTGCTTAGCCCTCTCGGAACTGGCGCTCAGGCAGATGAGAAGCCCGTGGCTGAGACACACCCATGTCCCGTATTAGAGCGAGTGGGTTTCATTCCTGACTCCACCTTCCTGCTGACGTGGCTCCTGGGAGGCAGCAGGGATGGTTCAGGATGGTTCAAGTGCCACCCACACGGTGGACCGGTTGAGTTCTTCTCCAGCTTCTGCCCCCACTCCCACCTCTCTAACAACACAGAAAATAAAAACGGGGACGGTGCCGTCTCTCAATAGGCAAATGCTCCGCTTATGGCGCCGGCACACCGAGTTCTAGTCCCGGTTGGGGCGCCGGATTCTGTCCCGGTTGCCCCTCTTCCAGGCCAGCTCTCTGCTGTGGCCAGGGAGTCCAGTGGAGGATGGCCCAAGTGCTTGGGCCCTGCACCCCATGGGAGACCAGGAGAAGCAACCGACTCCTACCTTCAGATCAGTGCGGTGCGCTGCCTGCAGCGCACCGGCCTCGGCTGCCATTTGAGGGTGAACCAATGGCGAAGGAAGACCTTTCTCTGTCTCACTCCCTCACTGTCCACTGTGCCTGTCAAAATATAAAATAGAATTAAAAAAAAAAAATCGGAGAGTCTTTCCTTAGGGACCCACCATTTCAACAGTGTGAACTTGGCCAACAGCACAGCCAAGTGGAAATTCTGCGGCAGGCACTTAGTATGGTGGTTAAGTTGCCACTAGGGGCTGCGTCCCATATCTGAGTGCCTGAGTTCAAGGCCTGGCTCTACTTTCGTTTTTTAAGAATTTTTCAAAAAATGTATTTATCTGAGAGTTACAGAGAGGCAGAGGCAGAGAGTGAGAGAGAGAGAAAGATGTCTTCCATCTGCTGGTTCACTCCCAGATGACTGCAATGGCTGGACCTGGGCCGATCTGAAGCCAGGAGCCAGGAGCTTCTTCTGGGTCTCCCACGTGGATACAGGGACCCAAGGACTTGGAGCATCTTCTACTGCTTTCCCAGGCCATAGCAGAGAGCTGGATCACAAGTGGAGTAGCCGGGACTCCAACCGGTGCCCATACAAAATGCCGGTGCTGCAGGCGGCAGCTTTACCCACTACTCCACAGCCTGGCTAAACTTTTGAGTCCAGCTTCCTGTTAATGCCAACCAAGTGGGAGGCCTGCATTGAGTTCTGGGCTCCTGGCTTCAGTCTGGCCCAGCCTGCCTGCCGCGGGCATTTAGGGAGTGAACCAATGGATGGGACATCTCTGTCTGCCTTTCATAGAGCATGAAAATAGATTTTTTTTTTTTTTACAAACATTAAGCCATTAGAGACATTTTCATCTTTGATTGCCCCAAGTACAAGGGGTTAGTTAGAATTCAGGGGAAGCATTAGGATGGCTGGATAGAGTCAGTGAGGACACGAAGTGGCTTTGGGAAGAATTTCGAGGACTCTAAAATACTGCCAGTTTTTGGTTTTGGTGGTAGTGGTGGGCAGTAACATATTGCTTCCCATAGATTTCTTTGTGTCATAGGGAATGTCAAAGACATAATTCTTCCCAACTAGACAAAGAGAAATTATAGACACGTAATTTTGTAAAAAAAAAAAATTTTTAAAAACCCCAAGCACTATGAAAAGAAGCCCACCACTAGCATGTTTTTATAACAATTCCTTGGGCGCCAGATGTTGCTGTGGATCCATTCTGAGAGGAGGAGCATGGTGGGGGCAAGAGGCGTGGAGTCACCACACAGACCCCAGGTGTGGGTGAGAGCAGGCCAGAGGCGAGAAGCCCGAAAACTCACTTATTTTAGTTGGTACAGCAGCTTATAGAGCCAAGGCAGCCAATCTGGTCAAGGGGTGGTCTATGCTCTAACCAATCACAGCCTGTTGCCAGGCAGTTTCTGTTGCCTGCGGCCACCTTGCATGGCCTTCTCATTCCACCACAAATTCCATCACAGAATATTATGCCATTGGAATTCTTTTTGAGCTATAAATATCATAGATCTTACCCTTTTCAAGTGTGAAAGTGATTTTTAGTATATTTATAAGGTTTGTACATCCAGCATCGCATATTCCAGAATACCTAAGTAAAACAAACAAACAAACAAACAAAAAAAAAAACACGAGGCCATGAGTTGTCTCCCCAGCCTCCCTTTAGCCCAGCAGAGTCATGTTCTCATGTGTTAACCTGAGGAAGAATTAAGTCAGGCTGATAACAAAGCCATTGCCTTACATACTCATTTGTGGTGAGAACATTTACGATCTACTTTTAGCAATTCTGATGAAAGTCACCATTCCATGTGATCTATTGATCACTAAAGGCTGCTTCTTCCTTTCACCTGAAACTTTGTATGCTCTGATCAACATCTTGCCTCTCTCCATCCAGTGTTCTGCCAAGCCTCTCATGACTACCACTTTGTTTGTTTTTTTGTGTGTGTTTTTTTTTTTTTTTGTAAAGATTATTTATTTGAAAGGCAGAATGACAGAGAGAGGGAGAGACAGGGAGAGATCTTCCATCCACTGATTTACATCCCATACAGCTGCAATTGCTGGGGCTGGTCCAGGCTGTAATCAGGAGCCTAGAATCTCATCTAGGCCTCCCACGTGGGTAGCAGGGACCCAAGCAGTTAGGCCACCCTCCACTGCTTCCCCAGGTGCATCAGCAGGAAGCTGGATCAGAACTGGAGCAGCTGGGACTCAGATCAGCCTCTGATACGGGAAGCCGCTTAGCCCACTGTGTCATTACTCTGGCCCCTGCTGACGGCCACCCTGCTCTCAAATTCTGAGTTGGTATTTCTTAGATTCTACACGTAAGTGGGATATGGTATGTATTTGTCTCTCTATGCCTGATTTCCCTTAGCATAATGCCCTTCAGGTTCACCCTGGGGTTACAAAGAACAAGGTTTGGGAATACAGCTGACTCAGAGGTCATCAGCACATAAATAGTGAAGTTCAAGTGCTACAGTGAAGTTCATGTGCTGGGTGTGGAAGAAGCCATTCAGGAAAGCAACAGGTATAGAAAAGGAGAAAGGCAGCAGTAAGCGAACTGGGAAACACCAGTGTTGGTTGGTACAAAGAGGAGGCAGTTACAGAACTATAGAAGGGAGGTTAATGTGTGGCACAGCAGGTTAAGACACCACACTGCATCCCATACTGGAGTGCCCGTTGGAGACCTGGCTACACTCCTTCTGGTCCAGCTCCCTGCCTCTGATAATGGCTCAAGTGATTGAGTTCCTGCTACCCATCTTGGATGGAGCTCCTGGCTCCTGGCTTTATGCTGGCCCAGCCCCAGCTGTTGTAGGCATCTGGGGAGTGAACCAATGGATGGAAGATCTCTCCTATCTGTCTGCATTCAAATCAATAAATAAAGAAAAAAAGAACAAGAGAATGGAGTGGTATGGGAGGCAAGGAGAAGGCAAGAGAGAAATTCCAAGCAGTGGCTAAGGCCAGGAGAAATGGAGAAAAAGAAAGATCTCCGTTTCTTCCATGGTGGCCGTGAGGAGGTCATTCATTATCTTGACAAGCACAGCTTCAGTGGCCTGTAGGAATTGGCTGAAGCAGACTGCAATTTGCTAAGGAATGAATGGGAGGTGAGGATTCACAGAGCGAGGGCTATTTCAAGAAGTGTGTCTCTAGGAATACAAAAATAAGCTGGTAGTCATAGCTCTGGGGACTGTGATATTGCGGTGGATTCATTTTGAGAGTAGGAGTGTGGTAGTGGAAGAGGCATGGAGTCACCACACAGACCACAGGTGTCAGGTGAAAGCAAGCCAGAGGTGAGCAGCCCACAGACTCGTTTACTTCAGTTGGTAGAGCAGCTTAAATAGCCAAAGCAGTCAATCGTATCAAGGGGCGGTCTATGCCCTAACCAATCACAGCCTGTTGCTAGGCAGTTTCTGAAGCCATCCAATCACAGCCTGCTGTCAGTCAGGCTCCATTGTCATGTTGTTTCCCGATGCCATCCAATCATAGCCTGTTGCCAGGCAGTTTCTGTTGTCAGTGGCCATCTTGGCATGACCTTCTCTTTCCACCACATTTCTTCCTTTTTGTTTATTTTTGAGCAACAGGAGGCATGATTCTTGGCCAGACCATTGCTGAACCCGTTTCCATGTGGTCTCCGCATGTGGCTGTGCCTATCTTAGGTTGTCTCCCAGAGGATCGTACCCATCGTTGACTAACCAGTGCTTAAAACCAGAGGCCACAGGAGTGCTTGCTCAGATAGGGATAGGAATGAAGAACAATGGTAATCAGGAATGGCGTGACTGCACACAGGCTGTGGGCCGTTTGAGTGGCTGACCAGAGCTAGTGGGGTATAAAGCAGTAGCAGATGTGGCTATGGGCACTTTCTCAGGGTTGGATGATAGGGCAGGTGCATCCGCTAACAAGGCAGACTCTCAGTCGTGTTCAGCTGGTTCTGGTTGGCTGAGAGTTGTAGGCTTGATGTTTCTGGCTGGTACCCAAATGGGCTGTCCTGCATGCTCTGGAAAGACACAAGCATATCCTTGGCCCTAGGTTAGCAGAAGCCTTTTTACAGGCGCTGGAATCCAGGGCCTGA